GCTGAAAGAAAAGAGTGAGAGCTACAGAGGAACTCAACAGGAAGCAAAAAAATGTGAACATTTCATTCTTTCAGCCTGTTGCATGCTGCAGCGATGATTCATCGCAAGAATATAATGAGAGAACAGATTCAATACAAATTGTATATAATTTTCTCAGTACAATCTCTGTGTCTCTACCAAAACTTCAAAGTTTTGTTTGAGCATTTGAAATGTTGTTTCTCCGTTCATATTCTCTGACAAATCAAATTTAAAATGACCAAATCAAATCCACAGGGACAAACAACCAAAATAAACTTATTTAAAACGCAATCTTTAAAGCAAGTTTCCAATGTTAAACAAGCTGATAACCACGTAAGAACCACAGAAAACAGCGGATGTACCTGATTCTGTCTCATCTCCAGTCACAGCCATATAGTGAGCTGAAAGCTTGTCTGTCTCTCTCTGCTGTCAGCATGCAATGCTGCCTAAACCACAAGCTAAGTGTGCAGTCACTGTCAAGGCCATTGACATCACTATGACATCATTAGCCTCCTGATGTCAGTAACACAGTGACTAGCGGAGCCAGCCCTCCTTTTCCCCCCACCTCCCTCTGCTGTCATTCACACATCAGACTGTGAGCCGGACCGAAGCACACAACAGAAGGGAGTTTATATGCTTAAAAGCTTCATATGTATAGGACTGTCCTTAGATTTTCTTTTCAGTTATGATTTCAACTAAATGAAGATGCATTATGCATAATGTCATGTGATGTTGTTTTTCTTTAAATGTATGAACAAATGGGCTTCCTGGTAGGCTGTGAATTGCATGAGACACTTTTATCACTTTTAACTCAAAAATAAACAGAAAGAAATTACACTACCATTAAAAAAAAATGTTTTTTTATTACATTTTTTATATACTAATTAATTTTTTTCATCAAAGAATCCTGAAAAAAAAATGTATCACAGTTTCCACAAAAATATTATGTGGCACAGCCGTTTCCAACATTTATATTAAGAAGAAATGTTTCTTGAGCAGCAAATCAGCATATTAGAATGACTTCTGAAGGATCATGTGACACTGAAAACTTGAGTAATGATGCTGAAAATTGACCTTTGCCATCACAAAAATAAATTACATTTTAGAATATATTCAAATAGAAAACAGTTATTTTAAATAATTTTTAAGTAATAACAATTTACATTTATTATTACATTATTACTGTTTTTACTGTATTTTACATTAAATAAATGCATCCTTGGTGTGCATAAGCTTCTAAAACATTAAACATTTTATTGCGTCTAAATTTTTGAAAGGTAGTGTATATAAAAATTAATGAAGAAAATTAATGATGCATTTTGCACATTTTCTTCACCAGAATGATTTTACTGCAAAGAACAAAAATCTCATTACTACTTAATTATTATTAAAACAAGGTCAAATGCAAACAAACATAATCCTAATGGTCCTAATTTTTTTATTTTGGGGCAAACCGTGAACATGTTCTAATGAGAATCATCCTTGTGTTTATTTTTACGTCTATGTGTTTGTTTAATGTTTATTTAACATGTGGATTAAAAAAAACTTTAGTATTTACTTTGATATGGTATTATATCAAATGAGAGTATAATCCAAATGAATGACTCAAATGGTGACGTCATTACCTTGGCCCTTATTTTCAGACACAATGTAAGTGCCATTGCTGGAGTGGACAGCATACTGCATTATGGGAGCCCCAGGCCAGGAAGTGAAGGTTTCATATCTCTGCTGGCAGGGGATAAACTGGGCACCGCCGCTCTGGTTGACAGACACTTCAGAACAACAAAACAAAAGTCACATGAGGACAAGCCTGTGCACATCATATTTTAATTTGTCAATAATGTTTATAAAGTTTTGGTTTCACCTACAATGGCCTCAAAATGTGTTAAGGAAAGACAGAGCACTTTTTAAACAAAATATTTCACAAAAAGTGGTTTGCTTGATTTTTTAAAAGATAAAAGAATAGATATATTGTTCAAAATTACACAAAAAGTATTTGAACACCTTCTCATTGACAAACATTAGTGAAACTCAAGGCAAACTTGCTTTAAAAATCATAGACAACCAGCTGATTCAAAATCATAAAATGCAATGGCATTCATACATTTTTAGGCGTGACTTAAGAGTCCATAAGTGGCTGAATAGATTTTGGGGCCACTGTACATGTGAAATATGCCTTTGAAACATCTCACTGAAATGGCCTGCACTGGTATTGTTGAAAATATTTCTTGGGGATGTCTCAACATCCAACTTCTGTTTTGCATTTTCATCATTTAGAGAGTCACCAAGATGTGTACTGGTTGAAGAGTCTGGCAGATCCCCACCTGTGTTCTCCCCTTTGCAAATTACTGATGGTGCCTGAGAGAAAAAAAATCAAAAGACAGGTTTTGATTAAGGGAATAGTTCACCAACAAATGAAGATTTGCTGAAAATGGACTCATCCTCAGGCCATCCAAGATGTAAATGTGTTTGGAGAAATTTAGCATTACATAATTTGCGTACCAATGGATCCTCTGCAGTGAATGGGTGCCGTCAGAATGAGAGTTCAAACAGCTGATAAAAACATCACAATAATCCACAAGTAATCCACATGACTAGTCAATCAACTGATGTCTTGTGAAATGAAAAGCTGCACCCATTCACTGCAGCAACTAAATTTCTCCATATCTGTTCTGATGAACAAACTGTTGGATGGCCAGAGAGTGAGTACATTTTCAGCAATTTAAATTTTTTAATGAACTGTTCCCTCAATACAGCTCTTTTCTGAATCCCTATACCCACCAGATACATGTTACATAACAAGGAAGATCTTATTATGCTCTTGCAGTGAATTCCTATAGTAATCTGTGAGGTTTAGATCACACACACCATGTTCCGAAGCACACGAGGTCATTCCTATGCTTTTTTTGAACCCACACTGTCTTACTCAGTCACCCAGAGGCCCCACAATAATTGTGCGAATCACTGAAGCTGTTCAGAGGAGATCCTGTGTACAACTATAAATGATCAATTGAGTTTTAATGGGAAACCCTGTTACCAGAGGCAGTGTTTCTGACCCAGAATTACCCATTTTTCTACTAACATCTCATAAATATTAGCAGTAAAGACAGTGACATGTAAACTGTAGCTTTTTCTGTAAACTTTACCTGTTCATATTCTGCAGACCGAGTGATTGGTTGACTTGCATCGCCTGCATCCATACTGCTTTATACTAAAGAAAATAAATAAATAATAATAATAATACATCTCTGTCATACACTCGTTTTAATAATAATATGTAAATTGTGTATTATTACACATATAATGTATTATAAAAACCGAGATTTAGCCTATATTAGGCTGCCAATCAGTTGAGCTATATATTGATAAATGTTTAAATAATCGAAATAATTCGTACATTTTAAGGTGTGAGGAGTATATATTTAATGATTAAAGTGGCTAACGTTAGGGTTCAAAGCAAATCGTGTGTTGGAATATTGTTTTTCAATAACGTACGTTACTATTATTAGCAGTGTTGGGGGTAACGCATTACAAGTAACGCGAGTTACGTAGTCAGATTACTTTTTTCAAGTAACTAGTAAAATAACGCATTACTTTTTAATTTACAAGAGAATATCTGAGTTACTTTTTCAAATAAGTTTTTTCCCCAATGTATTGATTGACAGCTCTCCTGTCCCCATATTGGGAGAAATCAGAAGATGTTACTGTAGTTCTAAAATAAATATGAATATGCATTAATTCATCTCACTCACAAAAAAAACTAAGCACAGATTCAGTATTCCTCAAAATGAATAAAAATAATGCAACTCAGAATATGACGCAAACCTGCAATATTTCAATGTTAAACAACACAAATATGCGTTATGTATTTAATCCCATTCTATTAAGCAATGTCTTTGCTTCTGACCTTCGATGATCCAGTTCAACCGTACTAATAAGCACAAATTACTTTAGACGAACATTTGTGTGTTTTTTTTATTGCTGAAGTGTGTTGAAATGTCTTCTTCTGCATTCTACTGTACGGATGTAAATTTACTTTCCCTTCAGCCTGAGGCTTATTCATTTCACTTTTGGTGTGAAAAGGCTTTTAATAGTTCACCCAAAAATGAAAATTCTGTCATAATTTACTCACCCTCATGTCGTTCCAAACCTGTATGAGTTGCTTTCTTATGTTGAACACAAAAGAAGATATTTTGAAGATTGCTGGTAATCAAACAGTTGGTGGTAGCCATTGACTTCTATAGTAGGAAAAAAAAATACTATGGAAGTCAATGGCAACCACCAACTGTTTCATTACCAGCAATCTTCAAAATATCTTCTATGCTCACCATAAGAAAGCAACTCTTACAGGTTTGGAACGACATGAGGGTGAGTACACGATGACAGAATTTTCCTTTTTGGGTGAACTATCCCTTTAAATGTGTGGTTGGGGTGCCTCCAGGACCAGGGTTGGGAACAACTGGCGTAGCGGTGTATGAAGTCACTTTTAAACCCAGCATCTTTCTGTCAGACAACTTGGCAAATTCACGTGACCAGCTGAAAGATTAAAAGGTCAAAAAAGCTAAAATGAACCCAATGCAAATCTGTGTGGAAATCTTTTGAGCAAAATTCTGTGTAGATTGTCAACAGGATAATGTAAGAAGTCACTTTTGAACCACGCATCTTTCTGTCAGATAATGTGGCAAATTCGAACTAAATCCGATGCAAAATCTGCATGGGTAAATTCTCCATCCTCACACTATATTCCCAATCGCATAAGATTCCTATTGAAATGACTGGATTGTGCCTGTGAAAATTTGAAGGCAAGATTTTTCTGCAGTTAACACTGTCACAATGTATGACGTCACTTTCAAACCAAGCATCTTTCTGTCAGCAAATTTGTGTGACCAACTGAACCCAATGCGAAATCTGCGTGGGGAAATCTTTCGTCCTCACACTAAATTCCCGTAGACTTCACCAGGGGAAACTCACCAAACAACAGTTAATGTGACCGCACCTTAAGAGCTGGCAAATATGGGCTCTGCACTCACAGTGTCGTGTTCACCACTGCGGTGGCACGTAACTGTAGGTGGGAGTGGCAGGCGGGCGGTACGTGGGCATTGAGGGGTGAGGCGCGACTGGGGTCGGAGAGTGAGTAGCTAATAATGTCCCTGAGGAGGAAAAAAAAAAGCATTTTTACCATTTTCTCTTCAACTGCATGAATTTCCATGGCTTATTTGGATGAGACTCACCAGCTGACATCGCCATGGTGGTGCCTCCTACCATTCCCATGGTGACTCCATTATGGCGGGGCGGGGCATACATGGCCGCTGGCATGCCATTGGGCTGGACCACCGTTGTATGATGAATGACATGGGGCGGTGCTGCGTAAAGGGGCTGTGTGTAGTAAGTGCCTTGCTGCTATGGAAAAAACATCCAATATTTTAACAAAATGCAGGTTTGACATTATCGCTTCATAACATCTGTTTTTTTGTTGCCTTACCTGTGCGTAGGGGTTCTGTTGGGGGTAGGGACTTCTCAAGGGGTAGACTGCAGCAGGGTAGGTGTTGGGTGATGAGGAATAGGGGGGTACAGCACCTGTTGTTGGGGAGCAGGACATTTTGAAAGGGGTCCCGGGAGCATAACCTGAAGAGATGACATTACATTTAAAGATAATAAAGAAAATAAAGCAATAATATAATTTGCTAGCAGCAACAATGCTTTTAAAAAGCGAGCATCACATCAAAACTTACCTTATGGATAAAAATGGCGGGATAAAATCAGGTACAACCATATATTTTTCATGAACATCTAGTTTTATTTGGAAATATGCAAGATCACAAAGGCAAAATGGGCAGTTAATGTCATGTCAAGTTGGCAAAAATGTCGTTTAAAACCTGAATGACATACTTCTGTGGAACACAAAAGAAGATATTTTGACGAAATGTTTTATTAAATTTGATTTGTTGGCAATCAAATGGTTTGTAAGGTTGGGCGATGTCTACAAAATTGGAATGGACGACTTCTACAGTGAAACATCGCGATGGATGATGACATCAGCGGGGGCGGGTGCCCCAAAGAGTAAATCCTTATAAGGGAAAACACGATTCCTAACACCGTTTCTACACCGGACGCGAGCGGTGCAACAAAATTCTATAGAACCACTGATCTATAATAGAGATTTATTATATATAGATAAGTCTATAGAACTCATTATAATCAGTGATGCTGTCTACACTGGATGTGGCGCGGCGCAACACGACAAATCCTCAACAGTAAACTGCTGCTGCGTTCCATTTATAACGTGCTGACACAAATTTCAAACGATTTTCAAAGGTCGCTTTGTTGCGTCCGGTGTAGACAGACTTTAGCTGATGCGGCGCTTAGGGGTGCTCCGATTGATCGGCTAATGATCACTATCGGCCGATAATCACGTTGGGATGATTGATCGGCGGTCTCTAAAAAGGCAGATCTCAAAAAAATGATCTCAAGCCGATGACTCTGCTGTGAGAGGTTTGGCACGACATGCAGCGTCACCGTCTCAGTCCGGCGCGGGTAAAATAATTATAATGCTTATAAAAATAATTTTTATATTATTTCATTAAATAACTTAAAGTCATTTGAAAACTTTGTGTAAGACAATTTCACAAACAGGGTGAGTGAATCACCATGCGCATGCTCTCACTCTTTCTCTCTCAAAATGACCAAATGGCTTCAAATCACCACATCGCATCTGTCTATAAGCGAGCTGCACCCTGCACAGTTGACAGGAATCGTCACTTGCGAGGCAGTGTCACATCGTCACTAAAGTTTATAAATTGCATTTCTTTTTAATTCTTGCCAGTGTTTAACCATCCTGGAGACCGTGCACTCATGCCCACTTGCAGCACACTCACATAAAGCCAGTTTCACATTACTCCTTTGAAGTGCATACGTGGTGCGTATTTTTTCCACCCTCATGTTAACAGATTAAAGCGTTCACTGCACACGGTTGCGGTCCGGCAGTGCGTTCAGGAGCGGTGCGTCTGCAGCAGTGCAGAGATCGTTTCCGCACCGAGTCTATTGCTGCGCTGCAAGCGCTGAATTAAAGTAATCACCTAAGAGGGGAATTCCCCTATTTTCAAAAATGAAATTCAGGCCCTGAATAAATGTCTAAAAATCCTGATTGGAGTATCACTATAAATAGTTATAAATGATAAAAAGAAGGCTTTAAAAAGATCGGTATCGGTGATCGGTATCGGTAGATACTGCTTTCTGTGATCGGCCTCAAAAATCCTGATCGGAGCACCCCTACAAAAAATACAATGGAAGTAAATGGGAACCGAAAATGTTTGGTTACCAACATTCTTTAAAATATCTTCTATTATGTTCTGCAGCAGAAGAAAAATGTCATACAGGTTTGGTACGTCTTGAGGGTGAGTAAATGATAACAGGATTTTCATTTTTAGGTGGACTATCCCTGTAAACTGCACTGATGAGGTAAGCAACAAAAATATTGAAGAAAAATACTGAAAATGAAAAACAATGTGAGTTGTAATTCAAGAACTGCACTTTCTAGCTTCTTAAAACATGCCAAAAATCAAAAAACCTCAGGATATTTTTCTTGGCTGAGCAAAGGAGATCCATGTAACAACTCATCGCACCTTAAAATCTGTTTTGGCTTCTAGGAGAACTGAAAAACAGCAAAAAACAGAGTTTGGACTTCCTTTACCTGAGGGAAAGGCTGGATTAGCACCAGCGTACATGCCATGGGAGTATGCTGGAGCTGCCGCTGCATAACCCACAGGAAATCCCGCTGTGCAGGAGGAAAAAAATCACAGGAATTAACAATAACAGAAAAGACAATGTGCTGGAACTTAATTGCATATATGGTGTGAAAACCCCAGACACTTCCTATCGATTGCATGCAAGTGAGTCAGAGCTCATCTCTGGTTACCTGGGTATCCTATTCCTTTAGGGTTGGCATAAGGAACCCCTGATGATGCAGGGTTATAAACAGGATTCATGATGTTTATCTTTCAGTACCTTTGAAGAGCAGGACAGAAAAGGAGATTACATTCAACTAAACAATTACCTATTACTAGACAGTTGTACTGTGCAAAATAAAAAATAAATGTGTGTGTATATATATATATGGTATAATTTGTTTTTATTTTTTATAAATGTAGTGCTGTGCATTTTGAGATGCTTATAATGTGTACATATATATATACACACATACCAATAATAGATTCTTAAACACAGCAAGTTCCTATTTCAATGAAAAAGTAGAGAAAAAAATGTATTTTTTTTAAATGTACAGACAAACCAATAATTGGTTTAACTAATAGTTTTACTTTTCTATTTATCAAAATCTTTTTTTTTTTAAGTTTACAGATGCCATATGCTAAAGATTCACATTCACTGAGCATTCAACACAGAAAAACGGTGTTCCTGTTTTAAAAAATGCATTCAAAATGACGCTTTTTTAAAATAATTGACTTTTTGATTTATAATAATAATGTTTTTCAATCAAAGTACCCTAACGATAAATTAATTATTATTGAAGCATATTATTGAAGATTATGAATAAGAATGCTTCAAGGCGCGTGCTGATGTCAGACACAACGTGTTTCTGAGTGCATCCGACTTAACAGATTTAAAACATGCAGTTGATGCATTAAAATACAATTCAATGCAATTGAGAAAAACAATCAGGTGCAATGCAAATGCGCATAAACGCACTGCATTCAATGCATCAGGCTCCTCAGAAAAACAAGTATGGCTTTCAATTAGCATAAGGTCCCGATTGTAAACTGACTCTACCGGTCGGCCAATTAATATTTTACATGCATGGATAAAACAAGAGATTTGCATCACTGCACAAGACGATCGTTCTTTGATGTTCAAACACATCATCATAATAATAACAATAGACGTGACATTGTGCACGCAGGCTGTAGCGCAACGGCTCGGTGTTACAGGCCAACAGCAGCGTCCCACTTTATCCCAATTCACTACATGTCCCACTCCTCCAACCATCCCTCTCTTTTTCCCCAGACAAAATGCCCCTCAGATGGGCAGCTAAAGCGATGTATCTCAACCGGACAGTGACTGGGGGTACGTACGGTTGCTGGGGTTTTTGTAGCGGGCGAATAATCCAGTATTTCACTCGTATCTGATGATGTTGTCTGTCTCGCGCTCTTGCGTCGGCTGCGAACACAACGCCAATGGAGTTCTTTGACTACGCAGAGCGAGCTCTGGCAGCACCGTGCGTCACTTCCGCCTCTGGCAAGAAGGGAAGCGGAAAGACGTATTTTTATTTTTATTTTTTACAGAAAATATCAACACTACATACAAAGAGTTGACATTACATGCAAAGCACAATTTATAGACGTATGTAACAATAAATAAATAATACAAAAAGAAAGCTTTAACAAAATAAATTTAAAAGATTAAATAAATTAACCGTTTAAAAAAAAATCTTGGAAGATGAAATAGTTTGGATATACTGTTGAACCTCTTTTTTAAAAACAATATATAAAGGATTTTGATGAGTGAATTTACTGCGGTGAATATGACATTTTGCAAGAAGTAATAATAGGCTAATAATAAAATAGGCTATTCATTAATTTGATCATTTTGTATATTAAAGAAGCCAAACAGTACATCCTTAAAAAGCAGAGAGAGTACACTGCGATTGATAACATTAGAAAATTCAATCCGAAATAGCTGTGTGTGAGGACAATCCCAAAATATATGCATATCAGCTTCATTAGGGTCACCACAAAAAGAACAGCTTGTATCTATGTCTGATTTAAACCTTTTCAAAAACCCTTTAGCTGGGTCAAATCTGGGTAACAATTTGAATGAGATTTCTCTAACCTTGTTAGTTACTATGTATTTCGAAGACAGAAGTCCAATCAATATAATTAACCACATTCTTCCAATAAGACCCCACATATGGAGTTGTTACAAGCTCCTTTTGAAAAAGCGATCTAATCTTATAGTTACGTGATGAAGGATGTGACAAAAAGCTAAGTTTTCCTACTGGGATTTCAAATGGGTCTAAAGAAAGAGATAAAGTGCTGGATGATCTAACGGAGTCCCTTAAAAGCATAACAGCTCCTTCAGGAATAGCATCCATGACAATGGAGAATTCTTTGGGAGTTGCTGGAAAACTAAATTGACATAAGAATTCTTCGTAACTTAAAATAAGACCTTCTGATTTTAATAACTGGGAAACAATCAAAATGTTTTTCTCAAGCCAACTACTAAAAAACAAAGATTTTCTCTTATATACAATGTCTTGATTGTTCCAAATGAAGTACCGGTGAGGGGAGAAGTTGTGCTTAAAGATTAATGACCATGCAAATAATGTCTGTTTATGAAATTTAGATAAATTGTAAGGGATTCTAGTGATATTATAATTACAGATCAATAGGAAAGGGAGACCACCTAATTTGGAAAAGAAGTAATTGGGGATAAAATTCCAGATTGAGTTTGGATTACACAAAAACTGTCTAATCCAATTCATTTTGAAAGTGTTGTTCAAAGAACAGAAATCAAGGAAATGCAACCCACCATACTCATATGTGTTCATTAATACAGACTTCTTAACCTAATGGATTTTGTTTTTCCAAACAAAATTAAACAGGATTTTATCAACTGATTTACAAATGTTGTTGTCCACATATAGAGAGATGCCCTCCGCCTTAGTAAGCAGTACTCTGCCTCTCAAGGTCAAGTCTCTCTGCAACCATGCATTGAATCTTCTTTGGGCTTTTAATAAAACCTGGTCAAGAAAAGAAGTAATTGGGGATAAAATTCCAGATTGAGTTTGGATTACACAAAAACTGTCTAATCCAATTCATTTTGAAAGTGTTGTTCAAAGAACAGAAATCAAGGAAATGCAACCCACCATACTCATATGTGTTCATTAATACAGACTTCTTAACCTAATGGATTTTGTTTTTCCAAACAAAATTAAACAGGATTTTATCAACTGATTTACAAATGTTGTTGTCCACATATAGAGAGATGCCCTCCGCCTTAGTAAGCAGTACTCTGCCTCTCAAGGTCAAGTCTCTCTGCAACCATGCATTGAATCTTCTTTGGGCTTTTAATAAAACCTGGTCAAAATTCAAGGTATTATCTTTTATCTTGATCTTTAGTTATCACAATGCCTAAATATGTCATTTCAGATTTAACTGGAATATTATAAATGATGGGTGCTGTACAGACTTTAATAGACATTAATTCACATTTGCCTATATGTTTAGATTAAGACCCGAAGCTTCAGAGAAAAGTTTTATATAATTAATTGCTATAGGGATTTGGGAAGCATCTCTTAAAAATAAGGTGGTGTCATCTGCTAATTGACTAATAAAAATTTCTCGATCCGCTATATGGATACCCTGAATACCACTTTCACACAAATGTTGACAGTAGCTGCACACAAAGAAGAAATAAATAGGGAGAAATGGGACACCCTTGTCTCACTCCTCTGGATAAACTAAACCTGGGTGAAGTCCCATTCTTTAATTTAATCGAAGCACTTCCATTATTGTAAAGGGTTTTAATTACTCTGCAGAACATATCCCCAAAACCAAATTTAACTAATGAATTAATAATAAATTGGTGCTCTAAAGAATCGAAAGCCTTATAGAAATCTTAGAAAAGAATGACGCTGTCCTCCTGAATCAAGTCTGAATAATCTAATAAATCATAATCAACCTTATATTGTTAACAATGTGTCTTTTGTTCAAGAAACCAGATTGTGTCTCATCTATAACAGATCCCAATACAGATTTTAGTCTTTTAGCAAACATAATAGCTCAAATTTGATAATCACTGTTAAGCAGAGAAACGGGACGCCAATTGTCAATTAAAAGTAAATATTTTTTTAGGTTTCGGAATTAAAGTAATTACGCCTTGAGTGAGAGTCGGGGGGAGAACCTCATTCTGTATGCTTTCTTCAAAACCCTTAAAGTCCCCATGAAATCAAAATTAAAGTTTTTTTGGGTGTTAGTATCAATATGTTAGTCTTAAGGTTATCTATAAGGCAGTGTGCTCCAAAACAGTGACAAAATTCGCATTTTGAAGATATAAGCATTCAAAGCTTGCAGTTCCTCACTTTGATTTTTTTGACGTCACATTGTACTTCAGCGTCTCATCAAACTTTCTGTCCAATCAAATGCTCTCTAGAATCCGAAGCGCCCGCCCCCTACACTATAAAATAGACGCTGAAGCCGCGGCTGAAATCGGTCACTTGTCCACAGAATTAGTATTTTCTGTACAGTGAATGGCATGTAGTGCACTATATAGGGGACAGGGAACGATTCAAACAGTGTAAATATGCTTTCCATTGAGGAAACAAAGAAGTCTGGTTTCATGCTGTGTCACGCTAACCACCGCACCGCACACACAGAGACACGATAGCACAGAGCTGATCACATGCACGAGTCGGCGCAGACCACCACATGTATCGGAGCTATTTGAATTCTACACAGAATGCTATATTTTATAGCAATATGGATGAGATTGTGGCTGGCATACCCTGTCAAATGTGGCTTTACAGAGCTCAACGGCTCTAGCCCAAGCTGTGATATAAACTAACGCTATTGGCTATTTTAAAAAAGGGGCGGGGCTGCTTGATATGTCCCGCCCTGTCTTCCTGTTTCAGTTCAAATGACGTCAACACATAGAGCTGCGTACGTGTTTCTAAGCATTTCAGGGGACCTTTAAGTAAAAAAGGAGACAATTCTTTAGAGAACTGTTTATAGAACTCTGCAGTAAGCCCGTCTGTTCCGGGAGATTTATTGTTTTTAAGTTCTAGAATTGAGTTACTAACTTCAGATAAAGTAATTACACTATCAGAGATTTCTGTCATCTCTTGAGATACTCTTACAATCTTTAACAGACTCCAGAAAAGTACGGGCTGCCTCTTCAGATTAAATACAATTTACTGTAAAACTTAGCACAGAAATGTGCAATTGCCTGAGGATTATTAGTGGCTGTCCCCTCAATATTAAGAGTTTCAATTAGTGAAGTACTTAAGCGACTCTTTTCTAATCTGAAAAAATATGCTGTGGAAGGATTTATTCAAAACTCGGGCGGCAGTGCGCGAGCGCGCGTCAATGCTGCCCAGCAGTTTTGATTTAAAATGTGTATTTTTATGTTTGGATTTCTTCTAATTAGGTGTTGATGTTAAATAAAAAGACATACAATAAAACCAGCAACGTTTTATATGTCTAATATGTGTTTTATATGTGTTGTCGATCGAATTTACCTCAGTTTTACCTTGTTACAATGCACGTGACATAATGTAAGATAGAGTGTTTTTTCTACCACCCTGTACGGTTAATTTGTGCTTATATAGCAGTCTTTATACAGCAAATTGTTAAAAAAAAAAAAAAAAAAA